AATAAAACCTTCTGCTTACCACATATATTATCCGTCCGCTTTTAACATTTAAGCAACATAAAGAACTGACCGTAACAGTAGTTATGGAATGCCAGGTGGATATGCGTCAGTTCTTGTAGACTTCACCAAGGAGTGTAAGAAGAAAAAGAAGCGTTCGTATTTCTCGTACCAGATCCAGAAAGACTTGAAGAGGTGTTAGTAAAATACTGTATTGATAGTAATGAAATAAGCACCATTCAACAATTTTCACCAGATAAGTTTCAAAGTTACTTACCCGTCTGTTTCTCTAGAATTACATATACAAATATTAACTATTTTGTTCCATTTCTAAGTGTTTGGAGAATACTTCAATTATATTTATAGAGTTGTGACAACAGGTATATGCACAGTGGGTCAGTCCTTCAGCTAACTTTCTCGCTGCCTAGGATTTATGCTTGCTCAGAATAATACTAACTACTCCCTTCCAATTATTAGCTATGGAGTGGTATTTTATCCTATATTCCTTGGATAGGATTTCCTGCACAAACAAGAACTTGCTTAATATTAGGTTTACAGAGTCTGTCTTGAAAGAAGGTTCAGAGTAGGAACAAGAATTGTGAAAAAAAAACGTGAAGCAGATAATGGAGGTCATAATTGGGTTATTGAAGGATAGGTTGGATGTAAAGAAGGAGCCGGCGATGAAGAAACAGCGGGTTCAAGGGTTTTTTGAAAAATAATCTTGTTTAATATGTACACGGGCAAAGTCCCAGATTTGTATTTATTTTTAGCAGTCCCTTTAGGACCAGGTTCAATGTAATGCAAATAAAAAAAGTTTAGGATACTAAGCAGTGTATAAAATCTAAGTTAAAATTTATGTGCACAAGTTGATTAATTATTACTAAAATAAGAAAATCATAACATTTTCTTATGTAAAATTACCTTTTTTGTACATAATTTATCTATTTTTAGTAATAATTTATGCACATTTTATGTTGTGTAATATGTGCACACAAAAAATTAATGTGCACATAGATTTTACACACTGCTGCAAAGCTTTTATATGATGTTTTGTACCAACATTGGTTTCTAGAATCTATCTTTGAGTCATTCAATTGTATCCATTAATCCCTAATTTATCTTTTAAAAGCTGAATTATATTACTTTTTATAAAAAAATAAATTAAATAATAATAATAAGTTTTAATTTCTTTTTTTTTAAAAAAAAAAAGAAGAAAACAGAAATAATCTGTTCATAGAACTCGTATGTTAATTATATTCTTGAAAAAATCTATCTATGTAAATAAAAATTAATACTAATTTAATATTACTTTTATATAAAACATAAACTGAAATTTTATCTAAAATTTTTTTGTTAAAATATAAAATAAAAAATAAAAATAAGTTTAAATATTTATAATGTTATGATATATTAACAATTCATTTAAAATTATTAAATCATAGAATGAATTAAAAATAATTAAAAATATATATATTAATTAAATTATTAATTGAATATAATCAAAAATTATGTTTGATAAAATCAGCTTAAATTCATTCAACTAATAATCTGACTTATTAATAAAAATTCGGTAATATTTAATTACATGTTTAATAAAATCAGCTTAAATTCATTCAATTAATAAAATAAATAAAATTTGACTTGTTAATAAAAAATCATTAATATTTTAATTACAAGTAATTAAAAAATCAGTAAAATAAAATTTTTAATATTTAAATAATCTTATTAATATTTATTTTCACATTTTTACGATTTATTTATATTATAATATTATAATTTAATCGAATTAATAATAAATAGTTTATTAATTTAAAATATAAAATAAAATATAAATATAATATTAATATAAAATTTAATACAATATAATAAATAATAAGCTAAAAATTCAGATAATTCACTATAATAAATATGTTGAATTTATTCTTCTTTTCGATGTCATCATCTTGATTTTTAGCTTCAGTAGTTGGTACTGAAAAGTCTGTATCAGTTAAAGTTTTTGATTTATAAACATCTATTTAGAAGTGTTTTGAGGATGTTGAATATATATTATAAAATTGTTACAATAATTTTGAGTTCTTGTTATTATGCAGTTTGAGGTGAGAATACATGACAAACAATTTCTTATAATAATACCTTCAACTAATAAAATTAAATATCAGAATTAGTTAAAATTTTAACAAAAATTATAAATAAATTTCTAAAAAGTATCAAACCTCATTTGATCTTTAGCTTAGATTATAAATATTAATTGTTTATGTTATTGCTTCTTCTTTGAATCTTCAGAGAAATAATAATGATTGTCTTTCAAAATCATCAATAATTCTTTCTTATTATATTTTGAAACTTGCTCATTACTCAAATTGAAAAGCAAATTGGCACCTTTAATTCTTCTAGCCTTTTTTATATTAAAATATCAAATGTTAATTGAAGTTCATTTTTTTTAAAAAAAATCAATTTTAATTATATTTACCTTACTGATACAATTGTTTTTGTGTAATTACTGATTATCACAATCTAAAGTATCACATTGTTTATATAATAAATGAACTCGTTGATGCTTGTGAAGGAAGCTAAACTATTTTCTAACTTAATTATATGTTTTTTTAAAGTATTAATGAGATGCGGTATTACTTTTCATAATATTTTGATATTTTTCCATTGCTGAAATTAAGATTATATATTTGGTCAGCAATATTTTTAAAATCGTTTTCATTTCAATCTAAATTATAAGAAAATAAAGCTGATTTAAGTTAATTTGATTAATATCGGTTATATTAGATTAAAATTCAGTTAGAATTAAAGTTAATTAAAATTCAGAAAAGATTTTAAACGAAACCTAGTTGTATCATTATCATAATATCCCTTTTTATCACTTTTATCATTACTGTGTTAAGTTTATTTTTCTTGACAATTATCATCTGATTCTTTATCTCAACATCTTTATCAGTCTCATCTAAGTTCATTTCACAAATTCTCATTTTCATGAATGAACGTTTTATTATATAAAGTAACTTTGTCAATTTTCATCCTTAAATCTCTTAATTCTTCATTTGCATTATTGAGTTGCCTGTTCAACTTGTTGATTTTTTCATGTAAATATGATTTTTCATAGAAAGTAACAGTAATTGATTAAAAAAAATATATTAGTTAAATTTTTGTAATAAATTGATTATACTACTTTCATTCATTAAAGAATTGGTAGTTTTAAAAGAAAAAACATCTCTTTTTCTTGGTTGATAAAGAGTTACACTCCTTTCATCACATCCTAATCTGCAATCTCATATGCATTAATATGGAAATCTAAAAAAAATTATAATTTTACTTTATATACTAAATATGATTTTTTTAGTAAAATAAGTCCAGATTTAACTTTAACACATAAAAACTTTTTTTTTAGATTTCTCCCCTTTCTATTGACAAGCTCCCATATGTGCATGAAATAATTATTTTTTTCTAAGGCAAATGTTACAATTATATACTTTGAACAAGTATATAAAATGTTATTAACTAAACTCTAAATTTGATTGGCTAATACAAGTATTACGTGATACTTACAAAAATTTGACAATTACGGTACTTATGATGAATGACGAGTTTTAAAATTGAAATTTTTTTATTGATATTTTTCTAATTTTTGAATATAGAGGTTTCGCATTGTACCTTCCACCAAAAACGAAAACTTTCCCTTTTTCAGAATAACGAATATTACTCAACCACATGTAAGTACCTCTCTAAAATTTACAAGTGGCGGGACGCAATTTGTGGAGGAAACAACCGAGTCACAGTGTTGTGGTGGGGTATAGAAGGGACACCTTTCAGCAGTTACATAACTAATAACTTTTTTTTTTCCTTTTTTTTTTAAACATGCAGACAAAACACGCAAAAAATGACATCTCTGTACGCTCAAATTACCGCTCTTCAACAACTGACTGATCAAGAAAAAACATCACTTCGTACATATTTCACCCAGAACCCTGCACAGAAATGTGAAACAATAGAAGTGCTTAGTATCTGCCTAACGGACAAGGATAAAGTTGCTTACCTTAACGCACTCATAACACCTGGTAAGCAATACGTTCTGACTACTATTTTCTAAATATCACAACCCAATATTAGCTTAGCGTAATGTGCCTTCATACATTTGTTAGAATAGCTTTAAATAATGCCTTTCTATTAATATTATTTTCGTTACGGTCTACTCGTTACAGCACTAATTATGCTTAATTCTTTGTAGTGCCATCCTCTTCCAGCACGAGTCGAGTGCAAGATATAGCTTTTGCTTTTCCCAAAGATGTGCACTCAAAGCCGAAACATTGTTTCTATCATTGTGCTTGCTAGTAGATGATTATTCCTCCATCTAGGTCTGGCTTATGTGCGACCACAACCTCTACTAGCCTCTTTGGGATTGCAATGGGAGTATCAGCTGGGATCTTTGAAAGAAGCCTTGCTAAGTGCGCTTAGACAACACTACAAAGACTACCGTGGAGGATTCCGAGATAAAACACTATGCCAATTTATCTCCTACTTTCTGGAGCCAGCACAGGAAAATCTCGGAATGCCTCTGAACTTTACCAAATGGCTATCACGCATCTAAATGATAGAACCGATTCTGAACTGAAGAAGAAGCTTATCAATGCTTAGGTCTTCAATGTCAGTTTGGAAAACGGTCTCTCCTTGACAGAAGATGAACCAAACGCAACTCGAGCTATCGGCAATCAGATGCTTCTGCAGCTTCTTCCTGGCCAGCAATTGGAAGATATAATTAATGTGTATATGCAACCATTCCCATTGGATGTCTTGCGATTGGTTGCCAAACACGAGAACAAGGGTTTGAAGGACGCTACAGTTATCTTGGTCGTAGACAGATTACAGAATTTCATGAAGATATATGACGATGGATTAGACCTGCAATCCATGTTTTATAAGACATTGTCAACTATCGGCGACCTTGCAATGAAAGGCCCATTTCTTATTCCCTGTTGCACTGCAACGATCAATCGTCCAGTTGTAAACAGTCTAATGCCGTCCAAGCGGAAGCATGTATATCTTCTAGTGCCTCCTTTGGAGCCGCCGACAATTGGTCAACAGCAGGTCTTTCAAATAGATGATCATCTAATTAAACTTCTTGTGTATGATTGTGGCAGGCACAGAAGAACCCTAGAAATTTTGGCCGAAGTCATGCAAGATGTCGACCTAAGGCGCTGCGATTTCAGTGATTTGATGCGTAGATTGCGTGATCAACTTGCTGGGCGCTACAGTGAAGTCACGGAACTCACTCCCGAGGATGTCGATGCTATAGTACGAGCAATATTAACCCATCAACTGTTGGATGCTGACAAGGCTCTTCCAGGTACAAATAAACGCCCAGATCAAATCGAATCACCTAGATTGATTCGATTTGTCAAAGGCCGGGGCTCTACCGGGTACCTTACTGCACTATATATTTGGATCTGGATGTTGTCAGAGAACAATGGAGAGTCGTTGATCCCGAAATGGTGATTTGACGATCATCTATCGAAAGAGGATAAGACATTACCATCGGGGTGCCTCTCTTGGCAAAACTTCGAACATTTCAATGCTTATTTTCGGTGCATGAAGTCTCAGATGCTGGATGAAGACAAAAAAACAAAGATCTCAGAAGTTTATTTTGGAGTGTGTTTGAATTTACCAAAGGACATCTATTTTAAGAATCGCCATCTACAACTTGATGTGGCTAGTCACAGACAGATACACGTACTCACCGTGGAAAGAATAAGAACAACACCAAGTCGTTGAGAGTTCAATGCGAGCACGATACTATCGAATTCCGCGCGTGTGAAAATATCATCATCAACAAGACATCTGCACCATACGGAGATTCTTTTCTTGCTCTTGACACTAAACCCCCTCGCAATGAAGTTCACCAATACAAATTTTACAACTCCGCAACTCTCAACCAGGACTCTTACAACGCAGAATGAAAAAAGGCTACATCAGAAGAAGATTTTTTTATTCTCTTTACTACTCAAAAGGCCGAAAATATCAACCTTTCGCCATATTCCGGGATTGTGGATGGAACATGCTGGGAAGCCTACTATGGGCCATTTGCTGGCAGAGCGTTTATTTACAATATTGATGGTCCTCTGGACATCAATACTGCTACTCGCTCGACACTTCAGTTGGTAGACGGAATCGGCCCTGCCTTAGCAGATTGTATAATGCGTAAAAGGCCATTCCAAGACATTTTAGACGCACATAAAAGAACAAGCGTACCAGAAGTATGTCTGAAAAAATTCAAATTTGGTAAATAGGTATGATTGCTCACAAGTTCTTCACAATGACACAAAATCTAGTTTATGTTATTTTCTTTCACTAACCACTTTCTGCTAGCAGCGTTTAGGGGATCTTTGTGAAATGTAATTTGCACGAAACAAATAATTATAAAAATAACAATAATAAAACGACAACCAATTATTATAGCGATAAGAGTAGACACTTATTTATTTTCACTTTATTGCTATCGCTATGCCTTCTTTATTTTCTTTGTTCATATATGTTATTCGTGCTGTGCATACTTGAATAGTGGGTAGCAGTAGCTCAATAAACTTTTGTACTGTATATTACTTTGTATTTGATAAGTGTACCTGAAAATTGCATAGTTCTCAGATATATCACCTATTTAGCAGTTGAAAACAAATTTGGCGACGAATAACTTTGTACACTGAGATTTCTTCGCATGGCCGAAATGTTGGGCAGCTGGGATAAAAATAATAAGCTTTCAATGCGCCTATACTTAAAACTTGTAACTTTTGCGGTGGAAATGAAACGCTAGGGTGGTCGATAATCAATAGTCATTTTTATATAATAACAGATTTTAATTGAAATTAAAAATTATGGAATATTTTTAATGTTTAACGTTTACAAAAGTTTACGATTAAATTATCTTTCAATCTGATATATATATTTTTATTAAACTTTGTATTATAAAATCGTTAAGATTATATAAACTTTGTAAAAGAAGTATTAAATCTAATTTTATGTAGGAAAATGGGTATAAATAGATCTAATAAATGGCAATTTCAATCCAAACGAGCTGCACAAAAAAATGTTGAGAGCAGACATATATCAGCAACTCGTAGATGAATATCTGCTCAACAACAACTAGAAAAAACTCATCAAATGATTGTAAAATCATTTAAAATAAGCCATAATCTAAGGAAGATAAGAAGCGGGATGATTTAATTTCTTTAATTCAAGAATTATTATCATCAAAAGAAGTTTATCCAGCAGCTCATTTATTTAAAATAATACGTTATCCAAAAGGTTTACAAGAAGGACAAATATTATCACTATACCTACAAGATATTATATTTCTAAAGCTCATTCAGCCGCTCGAAAATATACATTTCTCCTGATAAATTTAAGCAATATATTCAATATTTGTTTATGAAAAATAAACATCAATATTCAGTAGATACAATTTGGCTGGCCACACAAATGAAAAAAAATGGGCAGTTTTCTATGCGTTCAGCTACTGAATGCACAAAATTAGCATACGAGTTTCTGAAGAACCTTAGCAATGTGTCACAAAGTATTTCTAAATTGCATGTCAATTCTCTTCTTGATGAAATACGAAGTGTTATTAGCTATGGCATTATTAACAACAAACCTCTTACTACATACATTAACACATCTTAAAAATCTTGAAAAATGTGATGAAAGATCAACAGCAGTTCAAACTAGTTCTTTTTAACAAAATGATTAAATATAATTGGATGTGAATTGCATATTATGCATATCGTATTCAATAATTTTGAGCAATCTGCATTTATAAAACTTTCTTCAATTGTTTTACAAAAACTGCACATCCATATATAATGATAAAGGTTTTGAATGTAACTAGTAACAAAACAAAATTCAAAAACTATATCAGAAATATTTAGGAATACACTTTAATCAATATCAACAACCAATTCATGGATGTTGGGGTTATGAATTGCTTACTCTTAAATAATATTTAGAATGATATACATTTCATTTAGAGTTTGCAAATTGGTTTATATAATTATTAAAATACCTTCTCAAACATACCTTCAAAAATGCTTTTTTACAATGGATATAAGATCTAAAGCTGACTATTCAAACAAAATATTTAATACAATTTGAAATAAATTTTATAAACAATTAATGTAATTCATAGTTAGACAAGATTTGAAACCAAGGAAATTCTATGAAAACAATTTGGAAAAACTTCTATTTGGTCACCAAGCTCATGAAATATTTGATAAAGTAACAGAATGAATCAGATATTTAAATAATTTTAAAAAAACTTAAAGCTTTTTTTTATTAATAAATTGTTAGAGGTTGCTGATTCTTTAAATGTTAAACAGTTTGAAAAAATTCATAATAATCTGAAAAATGAAATGCAAAAGGCAGTTGATTAATTTACAAAGTAAATAATTCCTTAATATTATTTATCATTTACTATCAGTTTGTCAATTATATGAAGATTCTGATCAATCATTTGCTCAGAATTATTATCATATTATTTTATAGATAAATATATCAAATAAAGTAGAAATTAAATATACTGAAGAATTAGTAAATAATATTACTAATTCTAACATGAATGATTTTAGATTATCTGAACTATTACTATAAGATGATTATTTTTAACATGAATTTGAAGAATTCTATATATCTGTAAATCCATTTTTAAATTATTACCCTCGTATTTATAAATATATTAAACTAGAATCTATTGTATTATAATCTTTTGATAACAAGTAGATAATAAATTAGATTTGAAAACCTATTCTATAATGATAATAAACTTTAAAAAATCAAAATTATGATTAATTACAATAAATCTTGAAAAAGAAATCTAAAAAATGGACTTAAAAAAAATTAAACTTAAAATACAAAAAGGTTAATTAAATATTCAAGCTATATAAGTATTTAAACAGATATTCAGAAAATAAGAAAATAATTAAACTTATTATATTTAATTATAATTTTTTTTTTAAAATTGTATATATTATAGAATAATAAATAGTATTATTAAATTTGTTTTAAATATTATTTATATATTACAGAATAATAATAAAGCAAATAATAATATAATCTTTTATTTAAATTACTATTACTTATTCTATACAAAATAGTATTCAGAAAAAAATCAGAAAATGTATTAAAACTGAAAATCTTTATTTATAATATTGAAAAAAAATCTGCAATTATATAGGATTATATATATATTTAATTTAATTAGTCTATCATCTATCTCAATAAGATGTTTTATTTTGTAAAATAGTTATTCATTTATTTAATTACATCTTTAGCAATTTGATAATACCTGAAAATATGTATAATAATACTATCAGCTGTGATTTATTTTTTGAATCAAGCAGGTTTAAATTCTTTTTTGTGATGCCACTCAGACTTAAGAAAAAATGTTGATCTTTACTTTTCAATGTAATTAGCATAAATTTGCTGATTTTTAACTGATTCTTCTTATCTCATAATGTTGAATTTAACTTTCATTTCAAATATGATTATAAAAAGATTATTTTTTATGTATTATTTGTTAATGTTTTATGAATTTAGCTTTATTAGCCTACTAGAGTTAAAGATAATAATAAGTACTAGCAGTTTATTTTTAGTCTTAGTATTACCAGTCTTATACAAAAATGAATCAGACTGCAGTTTTAATTTATAAAGACTAATCAGAAGGATCATTAGTCTTATAATTCAGTCTTATTTTAAAAAAATATATATATATATTTATAATATATTACAATAATAAATTAGATTATCTTCAAAATAGTATCAATATTTAAAGCTTCATTTTCAATAAAAGTATTATAAGAGTATCTTTCAACTTCATTTTCTTTAACTATTATCAAAGAAGAACTGATTTCATCATTTATTTCAATCATTTTAAAAAAAAATAAAATAAAATTCAGCTCATTATCGATCTATTTATATTATTTTAATGTTTATCAGTCTTTTTGAAGATTGCAGTTTTAAAAAAAGATTGAAGTTTTACAAAAAGACTGCTAGTCTTTTGATTTTAATCACATAAACAGAAGACTGAAGAGGACTGTGGTTATTTAAGTCTAATCTTTTAAAATAAAAAAATAAAAAGACTAGAAATCCTTAAGACTGATTATCATCTTTAACTAGAGTGGCTAATAGGTAAAATTTTGCTAATTTTTTAACAAAATCATATAATATAGAGGTATACCTGTTTATTATAATATGTTTACAATACTTATTATATTTTAATTTTAGAAATGCTTAGCAATATCATAATTTATAATTATAAATATGTGAGTAATATATGTAAGAAATAGTATAGGATAAATTGAATTTGATAGTAATACTATTCTTTTTTATGATAGACAAAACATTTTATACTTTACAGAAATACTTAAATTCTAATGATATCGATTTAATATCACAATAATATCATTTCAATATTGATTCAATCTCATAATGATATCTATATCGATTTGATTTCATAATAATATCGCATCGATATAGAATCGATATTGATATTCATATCTTAATGATATCGATTCAATATTGTTATAATATTATTGATTTAATGTCAATTTGATATGATTACAATACAATTATGATATGATTAATGATATCAAATCGAGGTCAATGTGATATTAAATCGATAATGTTATAATGATATCAATTTAATATTGAATTGTTATCGTAAAGGTATAGATTCGATGTAGAATCCTTATTGTTATAATATAACAAATAAATTCAATGTAGAATCTATATCTTTACGATAATGATTAGATATCAAATCATTATCAATATGATATTATCGATTCGATATCATATCAACCTCAATTTGATATTGTGAATCATATTATATTGATATCAAATTGATAATATTGTAATAATATCAAATAGATATTGTTAAGATATAAATATCCATATCGATACGATATCATTATGATAAAGATTTAATAATTTATGAAATATATTACAAATTTGAAAATATTATTCTTATTATACAATTTTAATTTATGTTTTTAATTTTTATTTAATAAATTTATTATAAAAAATTTTTTTCTTCCTACTCTATCAACAAATGGATCTTTTACATATCCCTAATTTTTAAAAATCCTGCAAACTTTATTAACAGAAGCTTCACTTACATGCATTCTTTTAACAATATTTTTTTGTATAAATTCTTCAGCTTGATAATATACAATCCGCCACCTTAAGTCTTCACTTAAACTTTTTCCCATTTTAATAAAAATTTCAAGAATCTCAAAGAAATTCG